CTTATAGGCGAGCGGGATGAGCTTGCGGGGCGGGCGGCGGCGGCTGCCCACCACCCTGCCCGGCCCGCAGCCGCGCACGGCCGGCGCCAGTAGCAGCGCGCACCCGCTCAGCAGCAGCAGCAGCCGTGCCGGCTTCATGGCGCGCCCGGCGGCCCCGGGGCGGCCCGGGGCACCGGCGGCTCCGAGGTCCCCGCTAGGCTCGGCCGTCGCTCCCGCCGCCCGCCCCGGGGCTCCCCATGCGGCGCGCAGCCGGCGGGCAGGTGCCGGTGCCGGCGACGGCGGGGCGCGGCGGCTGCCCGGCGCGGGTGCGCTCCGGCTGCCCGGTGCGGCGGGCTGGCGTCGGCCCGCTCTGAGCTGCTGTGGCTCGGCGGCGGCAATAAATAGCGAAGGGCCGTTTGTTTTGGCAGGCGAGCGGCCGCTTGCGGGGCGCGGGGCGCGGGGTTCGGCGCTGCCGGAGCCCTCCGCGGTTTGCGCCTCGGCGGTCAGCGCGGCGGGGCTGGAGCCGGAGCCGGAGCCGCCGCTGCCTCCGCTCCCCGGGCAGGAGTGAGAGGGGAAATTGAAGAGATCCGGGACCGGGAACCGCCAGGACCGCACCCTGCCCGTGTCCCAGCCTCCCAGAGCCCTCCCTCTCTCTCCTCCTCCCCGTGGAACCTGCCCCGGGCCGCCCGCAGCCTCCTCCCCCCTGCCGAGCCCCGCAGCCCACCCCGTCGGTAGTGCCCGCCGACACCTGCCCCCCGGGGCAGCCCCGCTGCCGCCCCGAGACTCGCCCGAGCCGCTGCACACCCTTCACCCCCCTTCGCGGTGCGACCCGCGGGGGCTCCCTCGCGGTGGAGTGGGCGCGGGGTGGCACCCCCGGGGCTCCGGCCCCCGCCGCGCCGCCTGCTCGCCAGGGGCCCGGGCCTGCGGGCGGGGATCAAACAGAGCAGGGAGGCAGCTGGTTGAAATTTAACCACAATATTCTCGCTCCCCATTGTTTCCAGGGAGGCCCGATATTTCCACAACAGGATTATGGCATCTGATTAACTAGCTGAGACAACAATGAGGGGCTGGGATGGGCTTCCCCTTCTAGCTGCCAAAAGGGGAAAGTAAATATAACACCCTGATTTCAGGAGCAAGGGTTTGCAGGGCCCCCCCGGTTCTCCCCCAGCCGTGTGCCGGGGAGGGGTCCTGCACAGCTCTGCTTGCACCCCCTCTGGCTCTCTAGGATCTTCCCAGGTGAGGCAGTGCCTTGGGATGCCCCCGTGCACACAACTCTCTCAGAGATGTCCCCTCGCCAGCTCTTCAGGGGGCACAGGGCACAGGTCACTCATAGGGATATGCAGTGACCAAGCTGGAATAGCCTGGCCAGACATCCAGCTCCGGCTGCAGGGCTTTGCTCATCTCAGCAGGACCAATCAACCTGGGCAAGAGGGATGCAGGCTGGGGATCCAGCAGCACCCACAGGCTTGGGATGCTGCTGTCCAGTGGCCCCAGTAGACCATTTCCTCTACAGGAGCTGCAGCAAAGTGCAGCTGGCCAGAGGTGTCTCCATCAGGTTTTCATACTCAGTAGCCATGTTCCAGCAGGTTTTCATACTGGTTTTCATACTAGGTACCCAAAACCAGTGCCCAGAGCCTCTGTGAATTCCTGCCACTGTGCAGGATGGTGGGGTGCAGATGTCCCACTGCTCCTGCACATGATGGAGCAAGAGTGTCTGGCCAGCAGCCTCAGGCCACCCCACTTCTACATCTCTTGAGCTGATCCTTTCAGTGGAGCATCCTAACGGCATTAGCAGAAAGAGCAGAGGAGACATACCACAGCACCATTCTCCATCCCTGCCTTTGGCTTCTAAGGGCTGCAGAAGGGACACAGCTCTTTGTACATCACTGGCACAGGAAAATCAGACCCTGTGGACCCTGGACTAGGTCCACAGGATCCTCCAGAGTTGTTTGTACTCCTAGCGAAAGGAATAAGCTCAGCTTCTCACTTTGCTCATCACCAGGGACTGTGGAGCAGGATCATCTGGGATAGCGCTGCATCTGGGGGCTGGGGCACTTCCCCAGGGAAAAGTTCCCCATTGGGTTGCCAACGACCCAAACCCAGACCTCCAAATAACCTCTGCAGCCTGCCAGCATGCAGCATGCATGTCACACACCTCCGTCCCCCTCCCAGCAGCTCCAGGCTCACAGCAAGCAGCCTAGCCCTGCCCTTGCTGGTAACAGCATTCATATCCCATGCAGATCCAGGGTGGAAGACTGGGAGTTGGGTTTGCCAGCAACTCCTACCCATGCAGGGGTCCTGGCATCCTGCATTGGTTCTGTCCAAGCAGTGACAGTGCCCTGTCACAGGGTGCAGACTTCATCACCTCTCCATGCAGCATTCCTAATGTCAGTCAGTGTCCCTGCCAGGCAAAGCCCATTGTTACATGGGGCCACTTGGGACAGGTGCCCCAGGCGCGACAGAGCAGTCAGAGCTGGATGTGTGGGGAGGTGGCTGCAGGCTGGAACAGGGGCAGATAACCAGTGGATAAAGAGAGAATTTTGCTTGAGGAGTGAGATTCCTGCTCAGGCAACTAGTGGGAAGGGACACTTGCTGCTGCAGCACTAGGTCACAGGGAGGAATTACCTTCTAGTGGAGGTGGGGAGAGATGCAGCATCCATCCCTGCATTGCACAGCATCTCCCACAACACTCAGCCACTCTCAGGCACCACTGGGATGCCTGGCCACCACACGCTGCTCCTGCCTGCATTCCAACTGTGCACCAGTTGCTCTTTCCTCTGCACCTCGGCTTTCTCCACCACTGCATCCCACTGTCCCTGCCCCGAGCAGGAGTGTAGCATCCCACATACCCCTTGCTGGGCTCCCAGGGCTGCCCGGAGCTGGGCACTGCACAGGAGGAATGGATGGCGGAGCAGGGCCAAGCAGTCTAGGTGGTGCTATTTCTCTATTTTTGCACTGGATGAGTTTGAGATTTTCCTCTTCCTATTTGCTGCCTTGGTCGTCTTCTTCTCTCTCTCTCTCTCTCTCTCTCTCTCTCCCTCTCTCTCTCCCTTTTTTTTTTCTTTTCCTTTTCTAAAAATACTTGACAGCGATTGAAAGGTCCCTTTAATCGAGGCCACAGAGCCCTTATTAAGGGCACGGGTCGGGGTGCTGGGCCGTGCCCGGCATAACGGCTTCATTAAACCCTGCGAAAACTAATATTTATGGAATCAAATTTATGGAGGCCAAGGCCGAACTTGTGGCCTTTAATGTGTGTCGGGAGCTCAAATCCAGCCGGCTCCAGGGAGGAGGGGCTGGGGACAGGGAAGGAGACCCCAGCGGGACAGGATGGGACAATGAGTAGTGACATTCCCCAGAGCTGGCGACAACCTGGGCCAGAGAGGCACCAGTGGCCCCACACTGGAGTCTTGGGGGCCAGGGTCCCTGTGGTTCTCTGGGGGGCATTGGCAAAGCTCTTTTTCCTGCTATCTTCACTGTCCTGTTTTTATTTATCCCCCATCCATTCTCCTGCATCCCCACCTTCCCTTGCCTTGGGAGCAGGGTAAATGGAACAGGATCTGTCCCTGCAGCAGGTCTTTACACCCACCTGATGCCCACTGGGGTGCTCATCCATCCATGAGCACAGGCTGCAGGACACTCCACAGAGACTTACTGTGCAGCAGAACAGGGCTCATGAGCAACATTCCTGAAGCATCCCTGGCACTGGCTCCCCTGAGTTGAGCACCCCAGGGAGAAGCAGAGACACAGTCTGGGTGCAGCTGATATCTGGGATGACCCAGGGGTGCAGGTGATGGTTTGCATGAATCCCAGAACCAGCAGGGACCCGAGGGACCTGGTTTGCAACAGAGCAGCTCCTGGGCCAGGAGACAGAGCCCACACGAATGGATCAGAGGTTGCACCAGGGGACAACTTGGTGACAGCAGACGTGAAACAGAGAGCAGTTAAGCTCCTGCTGCCCCAGTCATACCCCCTCAGCTAGTAGCAGGACCCTCCCTGGGGAAAAGTGCCCAGGAGGCAGACCTAAAGCTGCCAAGGTAAGATGCTTGCAGACAGGAGAATGCAGGATATGTAGTTACGGCTGTTGGTACAAGCTCCCCATCCCATGGCTTCTCCTTCTCACCACCCACTCTGCCCTGCATGCTGCTCCATTAGAGAGGAAATATAAAAAGAAACCGTTTGCACTTGCTCTGTGGCTGATCGGCTGTGGCCCAGCAAAGGCCCTTTCATTCCCCTTCCATAAGACACAGGGGCTGCTCCGGATGTTTTTGTTTCCCTCTTGCTGACCAGGAGAACAGGCAGTATGACTGCAGCTGGCCCAGCCCCAGGGAGCAGGGCACCTGGGGGCACAGGTCCCTGCCCCAGGAGAGCAGCACCATGGGCTGCAGCCTGCCTGTTGCCTGGCTCTCTGCCTGCTGTTTTAGGACCTAACTTGGGCACAGGAATGAGGTCCCAGTCCCAAAGGAAGCATGTGGACACAAGGGCTAGAAGAAGAGAGCAGGAGTTAATGGATGGATGGATGGATGGGTTGGCTGTGAAGGGGTGGAGGTGGTGCTTTGTGTCCAGGGAGCATCTGTAATTTGCTCCAGGGCTGCCCCCAGGCCCAGAAGCATTCAGTGTGTTAGTGTTTTGGTTGTCTCCTGCTCTTTGGAGGCCAAAGCTTGGATTAACCCTGTATCATCTGCCCAGTAACCATGGTGGAGGTGTCTGCTGCCTTTGCCAGCCTGCTGCTGCAAGGGCTTCACTTGGCTCCAGGCACCAGCACATGGTGTAGGACAAGGAGAACATGAGCTCCAGCCCTCTCAGCATACTGTGCCCCCATGATCTGGGTGTCCTCTTGTGCACGCCCCAATCCACATACTGCTGCTCAGGGTGAGGCACAGCATGGTCTGGGAGCTGCCGTCCCACGCCACAGCAATGAGCTGCTGCAAGCCCCTGGGACAGCAGGACTGGACTGAGGAGGACCCAGCAGCACCAGGGGTTGCACGCCTTCCTGGACACTATGGGCCCGGTGGGACAGAGCGGGAGAGGGACACAGCCAGTCACAGCCCTTTATTGAAAACCCACATGACAGCAGTCAAATCCTACAGCTCTGCCAGAGCCCTGGCTGTCTCATACCCACTGGCAGCATCCCTCCCACTTCCCCAAGGTCCAGCACTGGCTTTGCCATGAGAAGAAGCCTGGGCAAGCTCTGCACCAGGGAAGAAAAGCTGTTTTCAGAGGCACTGTTGAAGAAAGGAGCTCCATCTCCTCAGCTGGAGGCACCTTGGGAGGGGACCATGACCTTGCACAGGGTTCACCAGGAGATGCAGGAGAAGAGGTAGAGGATGCATGGGTGCCCTGCACTCCCTTTCTCGGATGCTGGGGGGAGCAGAGACCATCAGGGAGGGATGGAAGAAACCTTTCAGCTGAAGAGCCCCTTTGCCTTCTTTGGCTTGGCCTTGGCTGCAGGCAGCTGAGGCTTCTGAGCTGGGGAGCAGGCTGGCTGCAAGCAAAGAGAAGGTAGAGTCAGTGCCCCCTCAGAAGGCAATGTCAGGGGTCATGCAGGATGGGTGCATGTATGCAAGCAGTGACACACTCGTCATCCCTGTTGTGGAAGTGCAAACCACACACACGTGTGCAATCACACACTCCCCAGTCAGGGCACATGGGGTAGGATGGGCTAAGAACCAAGCTGAGACCCCCGACCCATCCTGAAGGGGCACAGGGCTTGGATGTGAGGTGGGAAAGGATGTGTGGGCCCCATCTGCCATTGGTACAGAAAGGCTGTTTCTAAAGCTGCACTCACCGTGGTTCTCTCTCTGTAAGATGATGTTTCATCCTCCTGGGATGGAGGAGGTGAATGGGGGTCCCTTGTGATTTCTGCAGTGGACACCAGGTCTGCATCGTCCTCTGGTACCAATAGAAAAAGATGCAATTTTGGATTGAGATGAGGGAGCATGGGGCATTGCCAATACCCACTCCAGGAATTATGGTTGCGTGGGGGAAAAGCAAAAGGAAAGACTGTTGCATGGGGGAGCTGCACCTGAGGCCACGCTCCCCTTCCCTGAGATATGGGGCTCAGCTGTGTGGGGGACAACTGCTTCATGTACCCCCCATCCCACAGCCAAAGAGCTCCTCACCTGAGCACTGCCGTTTCCGAGCCTGCTTGGCCTCCTGCTGCATCACTGCCGTGTAGAGCTGCTGCAGTGCAGAGGCAAACTCCTGCCCTTCTCCTGTACCAAAGATCTGGGACAGCCTCTGCAGGAGAGAGCAGAGGCACCATCACCCTGCCAGGAAATCACCTGCCAGGTCACCCTGCTGTGGTGCTGCTGGGGGGCAAAGAAGAGGCTGTGCCTCCCTCTGCCTGTCAGGCTCCATTTGTTTCACCCCAGAGACTGCAGCACAGCTTGCAGGAACAGCCAGCTCTGGCACTGGATGGGATGTGGCTGCTCCCCAGTTGTGCACACACACATGCACACACACGTGCGTGCACACACCTGCACACCTGCTCTGGCTGCCTTCCCATTCAGAGGCAGACTGCAGATTCTTTCATGAAATGCCAGAGATAAGATCACACTGGAAGTGCTCTGACTTCCCTGGCTGGAGCAGCAGGGGCTGCAGCTTGCAGACATGGACAGTAAGCCTTGGGTAGGGGCACGACCTCGGCAAGAGGTGGGAACAGGTAGCCCCTGCCTGCCACTACAGCCTTCAGCATGTCTATGTGTGCAGCATAAGACATCTCCACTGGCCCCACGGCAAGTGAGGGCAATGTAACAAGTTGGACGAGGGGTGCCCAGATTTGCTCCCAGTCTGCCAGAACAGCTCCCGCCTCCCTGCAAACATTTTTATTCCCTCCAGACTTGACACAGGGAAGCCCCTCTCCTCCTACCCACACCCCCTGCCTGCCTGATGCCACCTTACCCACTGGGCCATGCCGATGCACATGGTAGACCTTAGCTGGCAGGCCAGGAAAGCGCCACACTCCACTGGGAACATAACACAGCTCACAGAGAGCAAACAAACATGTACAAGGATGGGGAAATGCGTGTGTGCCCTGGAGGGGGTGGCTGTGGGGGGTATGTGGGGCACAGTGTGGGCGTACGCGTGCAGGTGAGTGTGAGCATGCTGACGTGCATGGGGACTGTATGTGCAGTGGTGTGCAGATGAGCGTGGCTGGGGATGCATGCGTGGCTGGTTGTGTGGCTGTGTGTGTATATGTGTGTGTGTGTGTGTGTATGTCAAAGGTCTGCACACTAATCTCTGCCCTGCTCCACACCCAGACAGCAGGAGAACAAAGTGTAACAGATAAGGCAGGATCCTCTCTGGGCCAGAGGAGTGGGGAGGGGATGGGGACACTCAGACCCACTCAAGGTCGAAGTCCAAAGCCTGACCCCAGCTTCCCAGTGGCAGACTGGGTAAGCTGAGCCCTCCTCTGGCTGCTCCCCGCCAGACAGGTGGGAGGACAGGGCTGATGCCAGGATGAGTTGGCTGGTGCCCAGAAAGACACCTTCCATGCAGGTCTCATCCCTTCTGCTGGAGTTGAGGGCATGAAAGGCCCCTTAGCTGCAGGATATGCATGGCACTGGCCAGGCAAACACAGGTCACCTCCTGTGTCCCTGCCCACTGCCACAGGAGGGAGCGATACTCTGGTCCCAGCACTCTGCCAGCATCCCTAGGGTTGCTTGCCACTGGGCAAGCACACCTCTCAGTGCCTCACTGCCCAGCCTCCAAGCCATGAGCTGTGCTGGCCCATCACAAGGTCTCAGGGAGGAGGAGGGATGCTGAGCACCTCGGACACCCCGAGGGATGCTCTTGCCCTTGGTGTCTCACCCCATGGGGCCAGGATTGCACCCAAGATTGCAAAAGCAGCATCTGAGGTTGGGAAGGCAACTGCACTTCAAAGGCAGGAGAGGGGCTGGCAACGGGTGGCCGACACAGCCCAGATCAAAGGCACAAGCTGGAGTCATAATTCAGAGAAAAGCAAACAGCAGCTCCCAGGAAAGCCAGGAATGGCAGTGAAGTGAGCAAAGTGTACTAGATAGTGTTGTGTGGGTCAGTGCCCCAGGAGGGCAGGAGAGTCCCCTGCAGAGCCAGACAGCCCTGGATGCCACTATTCTGGTGCCCACCCCTCCTCCCTGCCAACAACGGGTCCTTGGGGAATGCCAGGGCAATGGGGCAGGCTAAGCATCCAAGTGTAGGGTGCTGCCCATCCCCCTCTGCCCCAACCCATCCAGGATGGCACCTGGGATGTGCCTCGAGCCCCATGGCTGCTCAGTCTGCTCCTCTGCACAGCATTCAGGCAGGGATCTGAGCAGGGAAGCTGCTCACTCAGTGCTCAGTCCCAGCTGCCCAAAGCCAGCACAGTGTCCCCATGGTGTCCCTGGGGATGGGACAAACCATCCTTGCAGTCACCCAGTGTCCCCAAGACCAGCACCCACGCACACACTGAAGTGGCACCCTGGGGAGGCACTGGGAGAAGGGTACCTAGCACCCCTGGGAGAGATGGGCATCTAGGATGGCACAGGGGTCTGCAGGTGCAGGGCACCTGCTGCCCACGCCCGCAGGAAGGGCTTAGCTCCAGCAAGCCCAGGGTGGAATTTGGGAGTCAGTGGCCACTTCCTGCCGCTGCCCTTCCCAGCGGCTGAAGCCCGCGGGCTCAGGGCCATGGGGCGGCCGGAGCCGGCCCGCGGCGGGACGGGGAGGCTGCGCTTCACAGCCCCGGAGGGAAATGGGTTATAACCAGAGCTGGAAGCGTTTCCCTGCAGAGCTGTGACTCAGCAGGGAGTGGAGCGTGTTGTGCCAGCCACCGGCCACCTGATGGCCCCGGAGGCTGAGAGGGACAGCGAGGTGTCCCTGGAAGGGGCTGGATGGGGGACAAGCCCTGGCTACTTGTGATTTTCTTCTTCCTCCTTACTCCACTGCTCCAGCACATCCCGAAACTGAACCCTGCTGCAGACAACTTGTCCCCGCTGCAACATCAGGCTTGGCCTCTGGTGACTTGTTTTTCCCTGATTATCCATCTCCAGGATAAACATGACGCCTGAGGTCTGGGGAGCAGCATGGGCAGAGAGCTGGCAGCTGGGGGAGTGCTGTCCGGGTTGCTCACGGGGCTTGCCAGGCACCGGGAAGCGATGCCTGAGGAGCTGGCATGGCTTGTCCCGCCTGTTATGACTACCTGGCCACAAGGCCAAGTGGGATGCCCCAGTATCAGAAGGGACTCAAGGCTGTGGTAGTGGCATGGGAGGCTCCGCAGCACACCCTGAACTGCGATTAGCCCAGCCAGGAGGGGTGCCCGCTGAAGGGGGGCAGGTGCCTGACCTCGTGCCAGGAGCAAGCTGTGCTCACTGACAGCCCTGCAGTGTGGAGGGGCAGCTCAGGGGGAGCTGGACTGCAACCTCACTCAGTGACCCCCATCCCAAGAGGGCTCTGCTGTGAGGCTGCACCCCAGTGTGGAGAGGCAATAGTGGGCAGGATATGGCGCCTATCTCCAAGGCATGCTGCCTTCACCTCCCCCTGCCCAGACTCCCTTCTCAAGAGGCCATAAGAGATGGCAATTTGGATGTCCTCTTTACAGCATGAGCAGGAGGGGCACATCACCCAGCCCAGCACCACACCACCAACACAGAAGCATCACCTTTCCCTGGCCCAGGATGGGTTCGCAGGCAGGCTGGACTGTGCTGGGTCCCCAAACTAGTGCCAAGCACCAGAGTCTAAATCGGTCATGCTCAAAGCTGGGAACTGACCCTTTCATTATCACACCAGACGTTCAAAGCGGTTACCAACATTCTTCACTACAAATCCCACATTCCTATTTTTTAATATATTTTTAACTGGAAAACAGAGCAAATGGGGCCTGTTTGGAAATTACAGCCTGGCTGCTGTGGCTTGTATGTCAGATCTGCCCACATTCCCGTGGCCAGCCTCAGCACATGCTCCTCAGGGGCACACTTAATAATTCCTGCCGGGGGCAGGAGCCAAGGGCTGTGGGCCAAAGGGGGGCATGGCTTCCCCAGGCCGCCCCCACCAGCGGGCTCCATGGAAGCGGTGTGGTGGAGTGGCAGCCCAGGAATGGCAGACTGGCTCTCCAGCAACGGGAATGGCTGCCACCACACTGGCATGGGCAAAGTCTGGTGATGCTGCGTCAATCCATGGAGGGCAGGGGAAGAGCTCCATGACTGGAGTGTTCCTGTGCCTTGTGGCCAGGCTGCCCTTGGCGCTCTCCCCTGCCATGAGTTTTGTGCATGCTCCTGGGAATGGGGATGCTGGATCTGTGGATGGCTTGCTGGATCTGTGCTGGGCATCTCTGCCCATGGTTGTGCCAGTGTCAGTTAGGCTGGGGAGGGATCCACTCTGGGATCCAGAGATGCTCAACTAGCCTCTGCCAGTAGCACTGGACCAAGGGATCCCAGTAGAATCTGTCTGCAGGAAAATAGATGGAGAGAGTTGAACTGTTCCCTTCCAGCTGGGATCAAGGGCAGAGAAAGGTGGGACTTAACCCCCTGGGATGAAGCAGGCCACATAAGCCTAGTCTCTTGCCCCAGCTCCCTGGTGGGGCAATGACCCCTCTTCCTGGGGCCAAGCTCCCTCCAGGCACTCCGAGATGCCCTACATTGACCACTGACGCCCTTTCCCAGCTCGTCCAGCTCTTAGATGTGCTTGCACATACTCACCCCAGCCTTCAGCAGTCCCTGGGGCACTGCATACCCCAGCAGCAGGTGGCTAAAGGACCAGCTCTGACCTTGCATTATCACTGTCCCCTACCATGCAGCCCCAGGGGACACGCACCAGCAGCAGCTAAGAGAGCTGGCAGTCCTGCCAGCCCGCCCTTGAAGCAGGCACGGGCAGGATGGCCAGGACTTCACAGGCAGGCAGCCAGGCTGAGCACACCTGACAGGAAGCGGCAGTGCCGG